CCACACAATTGAAGCTTCACTCAACTCCCCCCACCCCTGAATTCAACTAATTCAGCGGTTGAACTTCTACAAAAAATAAACCACCAAAACAAAGACAAATTACCTAAGACTGAAGCCAAACATTTTAGAAAGTTGTCCAAATGCAATTGTTAAATTCATTCTGGCAGAATGTTTACTGCTTTATTAATGCAAGGTTTAATTTGTCTCATTTAGATTTACAACTTACTTTTCCTTTCAGACCTCAATTGTGTGGCCAATTTCTCCCATCTCCTTAGCCCTCAAGGGAGGTCACAGGGGAGAACTGGGCAGTTTGTGCTTCCACAAGGTTCATCTCATGATTTTCTTCCCTTCCCTTCCCTCTTTCTAGTTGTGCCCAAATTTGAGGTTTGGATAAATGCCCCGAAGCTCATCACGGTAACGACTGAGGAAATAACAATCAGAGTGTGTGGCAGGTACGTGATGCTCATCTACTCTCCTTCTGCCATTGTCAACAGACGGTGCAAGATTTTCCGGTGTGTGTTCTGACCCAGCCTTCACAAGTAATGATAGGCTGCTTACTCATGAGTAAAATAAACCCTTTTTCAAAACAAGGCAGGAACAGTAACAAAAACGTAATTAGTCCCAACAAAGCTGGCTCTGGCTAAGGAATCCAAATTGCTTGCTGTATACAACAGCAAATGGTTCTCCGTGACAACAGGCCACTCCCAAATCCCTCCTATTTATTTCCTAGCCAGGGAGGTGCTGACTGGTGTCTAGGTCTGCTTTTCCCTGAGAGCTGGCACATTGCTTTCCTTTGCTCTCCTCTCCTTTCCTCTCTACGCATAGGCACATCTGGGATGGGCCCCATCTGTTCCTCCCCCTCACTCAGCTCAGGCACCAAAGGCAGCTGCCTCTCCACCTGGGGGAGGACGGAAGGTCCTGGCTCTGCTGCCACTTCCTTATCAGAGCCTTCCAAAGGCTCCGAAGCTGACCCAGGCCCTCCCTCAACCTCCTCCTCGCCTGGCTCTGCTGCTAGCTCTGCTGGCAGCCAATGGGCCATAACAGCAGAAGAAAGGGAGGGTGAAAAATCTGCTCCTGTTCGGATTTTTCTCTCCTCTTGGTGATTTCATGCCCATATAGGTTTTTTGACAGAAACACGGAAGTGGTTTGATGATGATTTCTTCTGAGAATGTAATATTCAGTATCCTGGCCTGGGATCTCCTGGTGGCCTCCTGTCCAAATACCCAACAGGCCATATCCTGTATCAGGCTCAGAGATCAGCCAAGGTTAGCTTTGCATTGCCCTCTTGTGGAGCATAGATAGAAAGGCAGGGTAGTGGTGAAGGTGATGATGATGATGGTAATAATTTACTTTCTTCTGAAGGAAACCGGAGCAGAGTAATAAAATCATCTTTTATAAGAAATAACAAGATAAAATAACCCATAGGTATAAATAAATAAATATACCCGGAAGCTCTGGAGGTAATAAACCTAACTGATAAATATTGAGGAAGCTGGTGAGAGAAGATGTATAAAAGTATTAAGCAAAGTCCTAGTCAGGTGGTTATGGTGAAAGGCTGGGTGAACAAGGGTTGTTTAAACAAAGACAGTATAAACAAGCAGAAATTTAAAAAAAATTCCGCCTTCAATATTTGCTCTTTAATAGTATTGGGAAATTGCCCAGAGTCATTCTGGACTGAGATGATGGATAAATGGCAAAAAATAACATAATTCAATATAAAATCAATGATAACCTGACATAATTTTAAAAAAAGATAACTGATTATGAAAGAAAGAAAAATAAGAAATACAATACATGACCATACAGGTTAAAGAAATCAAATGCAAAGCCAGACTTAGATATATATGAGCCATATAAATTAAAACATTGCTTTTTTAAAAAATGAATGCAAGGA